GGTTCACTTTGAAGATCAAGTTCATTTCTCACCATGGTCATTAAAGTGCAGGTCTGCATGATTCAAATCAATTCACTTATGTGCTTTTTTTTCTCCTCTCTTACGTGCAACAACATTATCAGCTCATATTTGTATCCATCCTTATTTAATATATAAAGGTACTACCAATAGTATTTTTCTTTGTACAAATGCTGTAATGCTATTTCCAGTTCTATTACACAGATATCACAATGAAGTTCCCCTTAATTCAGATTACTTTCTCTTTCAGCGTAGTGCCATTATGCTTTTGCCATTACATCAGCGTGAGCTGTTCTACAGTGAGTGTATTGAATGTACAAGAGAGAGAAATATGCTGTTCTCCAGTATTGTGCTGGATTACAGAATCAAGGTCGACTCACAAGACACAGAGCAGCATTATCCCTTAATCCTGTGTTTTGGTTTCAAATAGCCTTTTTACACCTAATCTTCACAAGTAAAATGACAAACATGAATACTGAGGTAGGTATTTAAATGTGCATTACCTACAATGTTAAGGTCAAAGGCTTATGCTGACTTAAAGTGGCTCTACATTTTGTGAAAGAACACACAATCATGTGTTTGCCACTTATTTTGTTGCGGCCGTATTACGGAAGACTAGGGAGTCTTGTGATGAAATTTCCCCAGGCGGTTTCAGATGGATAAGTCTGGGAACTTTTCATCCAAACTATGAGTCATTTGTTTGTTTTTCTTTCTTTTTTGTGTGTTGCTTTTACACTCTCACACTATTTTGAATGAAGATGCTCTTCTCCCTTTGCTTTTAACTTCTCACCAAGTCTCACTTGGCCTGCTGTACTTTGGCACTGGTAGGACAAGCTTCACTGAGTCAACAGATATAGAGAGTCCACCAGTTACAGCACCAGTGTCTCCCTTTGACCAGACTGGTCTTAGTGTGTCCGTCAGGCTCAGCTGTGGCAGAGCTGGAGGAAACTTAAAGGTGCTGTGAAAGACTAAAAGTGGGCCAGCCGCTGCTGCCTCCTGTTGACCTACCTTGTTCGGAGGGTCCAGGTACAGACTGATGACAGAACTCCTCCTCAGCGGACCACATTACTAATGTGTGAGGGTGCAAGAGGAGCACACCCAGTGATGAATCACTCCCCTGCACCCATGGCATCCTCATAAGTCAAGAGTAAAAGTGTTGAGAGTGTGCTCAGTAAAAGAGCTCCTTGGTGCCGTCCACCGTAGAGAAACTCCATCCAGGGGAAGGGGGAAGGCTAAGTGGTGCACATCGCGAATAGCCTGAAGATCTCCCTCAATCTTGAGGAAAACATTGGTCCCTCTAGTGGGTCACTTGTTTTTATTAAGCTCATAGAACTTAGGAAAAGTTACTTTCATGCTTGAACAGAGCTGCTTTTTTAATAAATGAGAGTAATCTACATTGCGTTGATCTGCACTGCCTCACCGGACCAACTGCATTACCTGAAGTCGCAGAGAGAACATTAAATATGTGTTAGTTTAAGAGGGTTCTGCGCTGAGCAGTCACAGAAAAGAGCTCTGCCTCATTACTCACTTTGGTGTTCCAATAGAGAGAATAATGGTGAAATTGTTCAGCCTAAATGCAGAAGAAATATTGAGTAATTTAGAGGTTTTAAAATTGTTGGGTTTTTTTATTGAAAAAAACTCTATTGACGCAAATATTGTACATCCCAGTTTGTTTTTCTGTTTTCTTCTTTTCTTCTATAGCCTTAAGCCAGAAGGTTAACTATTTTAGTTTACACGCCTACCTCCCCCCAGAGCTGATGTCAGGCTATATTGGTGATGCTGTGGGAGTGTGTAAGTTTGACGCCAGGTAATACATCACACACTCCGGGGGTTCTCCCTGGTATGCTCCTCAATAATGAAGTTCATTCGTTAACTTCTCCCTCAAAGGCCAAGTTCCCCCTGCTGCCCTTTTCAACAGCTAACGCAACTCTTACCAGAGTCACCCGACCAACGGAAGAAAATAAACAAAACCACATCACCATGCTTTTTCCCCTTGACAGGCTCAGTGGTTGCCTTTGCAGGGCATGAAGAATAAGCAGGTCCATTACCAATCCCTCATGCCTGGTTATAGCCATAATTATCACAGGGAAAATGACCTGCTCTGTTTGGTTTGTCGTGGAGGGGCTGCGCCTTCCTAATCACCTCCTTCTTCCCTCCTGTCGTCCTCATGCCATGGAGATGGAGCTGCTTTTGGGGGAGTCTTGCCAGTTCATTAGAATTCACAGGGTTCCACCTCCCTGCCTAGCCAGGCTAAGCCTCTCACACAGACTGCCATGCCTGTGATAATCTCCCCTCCTCGTTCCCTTTCGCTCCTTCTCTCTCTCTATCCTCCTATCCCTTTCCTTTCTGTCCCCAAGGGCAGCTTCGCACAAAGGAGATGCGGTGCAATTCATTGTTAAATCTGATTTCTATTGATCTATTGAAAGATTGTTCCGTGAGATTTATGATAGCACTCCAGCAGTGCTGACGATCCCTCTTTACCACTGCCTTTTCATCTGATAAACCAAATAAATAAACAGATTTTGAATGTATAAGGCGCATATTTTTTTCAAGGCTGTATCAATAAAGTGAACATTCAGTTCCAGCGGGCCGATTGTAAACACGTTTCTTGCTGCTGGAGACACACAGAAATACCTGGCATTTCACTTACTTTAAATCTAGCAGACAGATAACAGCAACAACTACGCAGCCACTAAACAAAATAGCGACTAAAAAGTAGCCGAGGGCCTTTGATGTTTTTCATTGAAGTGCAGTGCTTATTATATTGTTCAGAGCCTCTTGTCACCACCTCACTCATACCTGCAAGGGTCATTTCATTTGAGGCAGGCATGCAAGTCTGCCTCAAATTTGAAGCGTGGTCAATCCGTGGAGGACAAATATGGCTTTGCTACCACGGTGACACAGTACTTTTGATTGAATTGATTTGGAAATACCAGAGGCTCTTATTTTTTGTGTTTGTTCAAAAAAAAATTTAAATTTCACTCTATAAATAACCCTGGCAGTAAAACAAAAGGCTATAGCCTTGTCAACCATTTGCTATAAGTACTGTGTTGTTGATTCGGATTACATGACAGTTGACGGGTGTACACTTCACCTATGTAGGAATGATATGCTTTCAGGTTTATTCATTTTGACCCTCCTGTTCTATAAATATTGTGCTTGTGTCTGTTTGTATTGAGTGACAGATAGAAAGAGAGAATGGTGCTGAGCTGGCAGTCTAAAGGATGAAGGACAGTGTATATAGTCATCTGATCAGAGTGTACGGTAACTGTTAAGATTGCAGAAAGCACAATACTTACCTACAGCTGCTACCTTGCTAGACTAGTAGACACACTGCTTTGCTCCGTGGAAAACCCATTAGCCGTAATGACTGAACAGCATTTCCTGTAGCTACACATTATACCATGAAACCCAGGCACAACAGCGGCATGTAGCATGTTCTTAAACTCTCACTTCTCTTATTCAAACTTGTCTTTAAATGCAACCCTTCGCAGTCCTCTGGATATAACCCAATAGTGTCCTCTATTTTCTCTGAAATAGGTATTCCCTTTGTTGTCTGTGTGATTTATTGAAGTTTTCCCACAAGTGGAAGCCCCCAGGAAATTGCTTGGAATGGCCCTAAATTGGTTTATGATTGTGTGGTGTGGGCCAGTGCTGTTATGGTTCTAATATTATGCCCTCCACTCCTTGGCATCTATATTAAATTGATCTGTATTGTTTTCATGGAGTGCCTGTTGAAGCTTGCTAATTCTACCGCTGCTTCAGGCTGCTGTGCCTCCGAACACCCAGGTGGCTCTTGTGGTCGTAATATAAGCCTCAACTCTCTAAAATACCTCACGACGAGATTCCCACACACAATGAGGAAGTCCATAACTGTTTATCCCGTGCAGGTCAAAGGCCGCAGAGTGCAACAGCACGCAGAGGACAGTTCTGAGGCTGGTCCAGAGCTGTAAGAGTTAACATGGATCAGCTGCATGGTGAGTCTGTGCGTGGAATGGCTACTGACAGACTGCTAATGAGGCCATTATCAGCTCTGGTCCTCTCCTCTCCTCCAGGGGCACCAGTGGATGCTCCGCACCTCATCTCGATTGAATTCCATTCCACAGGGCTTGTTTACAGTAAATACATTTGCTTGAATTAATCCAAGAGGAGTGTGAGACACATGACTGGGCTGGTGTAAATGCACAAATGTAGTGTCCGTACCAGAAACTCTCTCCCTCCTGGAGTCACAGCAACTTCACTATCACGATTTATATTTTATACTAAAATAAATGATTGACTAAAAGGATTCTATTGATGGCTACAGTGATCAGCATATTCATACCCACAGACGTTTGACCATCAGAGCCTTTGTGGCTTAATCAATGCCCTAATGAACAACTATCAGCAGGGTATTGGCATACTGTCACTGCTAATGTGGAGCAGTCAAGGGAGAGTGTGATCAAGAGCAAATGAAGCAGCTTAGCTGGAGACATTTCTCCTTAGGGAGGCCTGGGCTTTTAAGCACAATTATATACAGTTGCAGGCACTATATTTGTTGTAGAGTAGAACAACATCAAGATTGGTTTATTAGTTTTATGTTTTTCTTAAAGGGTAAGTTCACCACAATTAAAAATTATATTGTATTATAATACAATTTAGTTTGTCGTGCTCACAGTATTGAAAAAAAGAAAAGAGAGGACAGAGAGATGGGGAATGACGTGCAACAAAGATCCCCACCCAGATTTACACTACGGACATCGCGTTCAATGGTTGGTGACTTAAACCCTATAAGCCTCAGGACTGCCCCAAAAAAATCATGATTGATAGTGGATAGCAGGGCCGTCCTTCAATCAGAGGATCGGCGGTTTGATCCCCGGCTCTGGCTCCGCTAGTTGCATGTCGATGTGTCCTTGAGCAAGACACTTAACCCCAAATATTGCTCCCGTATCTGTGCCTACGGTGTAGAAATGTGATAGAATCTCAATTGTAAGTCGCTTTGGTTAAAAGCGTCTGCTAAATGACTGTAATGTAATGAAAAATTCTTTGTCCACAGAAAGTTTCCAAGTTACTGCGGATAATCTACAGAACTGTCGATGTTTGTTTCTTTGGTAGAAAGTAATATGCTTTTTGTTTTTATAATTCGGGAGAACAAACCCACGTGAAAGCGGATGGATGGTGAAGATATCTTAGAGGACAATTAGGCTCTTGATAGACCTTTTATGTTTTGTGGAAGGCTGCTGACTTTAGATGCAAAGAGCCAAGTGGAGTAGATATCAGTGTACCACATCGGTTTTGATGCAACATTTTATAGGTTTTACTTTTTCATTGTTAGAAATAGCCAGTGGTGTTGGTTGTTTCATAATTCTCCTAACCTGTAGGGAACTCATTCGCAGCATAGATTGTAAGCAGACGAAACATGTGCTCAGACGGTAATAAGGATGTTATCCTCCTCTCAGATGTTTTTGGATAACCAGCCAGCAAGCGCAACTCCTCCTGCAGTATCATGTTGTTGTTTTTTTTCCCTTAACCATCGCTCAGCGTTAAGCCACTGTCTGTCAAGCCACGGTTGGTACACTGATAGAGCAGTCGGTTTCTGAGAGCGAACCACAGATAGTGGCAGTTAGACATGTTCCTGCGTGGGCCTTGGCCCTGACTCATTTGGTGAACTTTGAAGATCTTGTGGGGAGACGGCAACATTGAAATGAGTCAACTGCTCTGTCTCTGACATCACATTGTTTGGATAGTTTACCAGGGCCTGTCTACGTGTAGTTTGTATCCCAAGCACGCTCCATTTGATGCTATCAGCCTCTGAATGATATTTTGTTCATTAGACGGTGTGCAATAAGAGACTGGTGTTGACACAACGTGAGTTAATGTGTTTAGTGTCTCTAATGGATCATAGAGGTCCTAATGAAACATTGTCATGGGAAGATTTATGTTGCAAGCTGCTGAGTCCTCATTTCCATTGTATATGTGGTTAGAAGCACCTTTATTCATTGAACAGAACACGATAGAAAACTTCAAATGCATATAGATATTTAGTATGTAAAACGGGAATAAAAAAATAAATCTATCAAAATGTCTCTCACGCATTGTTGAAAGTGAAAGCATCATAATCCTGTGGCAAAGATACAGTGCTGCTGTTGTGATATTGATGTCAAACCACTGTAGCGATTGTAAAATAAGCCTCTGAAATTTGAAATATTGGTGGTGTTAAAAAAAGTATTTTTCCTGTAATTTTTAGATATTTAGAATATAGATTTAGAATATTGCAGCGCCTGAAACTGAAGCTGCATGATGTTTGTCTTGAGACGAGATGATATGAGCGCCAGCTTATTTGTGGAAATGCCAAATGCAACGTGGTTATTGGCCAAGGCTGGATTGCACTAAAACCAGAATATTGTATCAGAGAGAGGCAGCTGGTTAGGAGTCAGAACAGATTATCATATGAGAGAGGATGAGCGAGGAGAGGGGGAGGAGAGAGAGAGAGAGAGAGACAGAGAGGTAGGGACTGGAATGGGAAGCAGGGGGCGAGAGTGAGGGGCACAGGAGGGAGAGAAGGAGAAATGATAGCAAGAAACTCATCGCCCGGTCGCTGTGGGGTGGAAGGGATCATCCGAACCCTTCCGTCACTATCTCGCCTTCTTCACCTGTCAAAAAGAGTGTGTGAGAGCCGTCGGAGTGTGTGTGTGTGTGTGTATGTGTGTGTGAGAGAAGGGCATGCGGGTCCTCTGAGAGGTCATGGGAAGAAGCTGAGGCTCCACTCGTCTTCTCTCGGTGTAGGGCCCACCGCTGCTTGCAGACATCTGGCCTCACACTGATCACTCATATCTACAGACAGGGAGGAGGAGAAGAGCGGAGCGCTTCCATCTTTGAGCCACAGAAACATTACAGATCTCCCTCATATCCATCCTCTCCGCTTTCCTTTTATTACTTTTTTTGCTATTTTTCGGCTTCACCTCTCTCTCATCCCCGTGTAGGCATTTATCCCCTCCTTGACTTTTTTCTTATCCTTAACATAGCACTGTTTTTCTTTTCTTTTTTTTTTTAGCAGAAAACCAAGAGAGTAGAAGGGATAGAACAATAGTGTGATAAACTGACGTCTGCTAGAACTGGTTCTGACTTTATCCTTGCACTAAAAATATATGCCAAGGGAAGATAGCGAGAGTGCGCTGTGTCTAGCAAGCCGGTATACAAGGCTCTGACTGCAATCAGTGGGAAGAGGGCCAGCTTCCCTGCCTGAGCTCTCAGCGCCCCTACTGGCTGCATGCTGTGCCAATCAAAGGCTAGTGGGTGGGGAGCAGTCAGACATGAACACTGATGTCACAGTCACATGGATTCTGGTGTGGTCATGCTCGGAGGCTGAGAGACAGAGCTGTGCTGGCCAGCTGCTGCTGAGACAGCAGTGGAGGGCTTTGCGCTGGTGATAGTTGTTCTCTTATGGACTCGAAGCTTAATGATGTATTTTGTGATTTCAGCTATGAAAGGTAAGAGAAAAATGCATGCTGATCCTGCACCCTGAGTAACAAGTAGGGAAGTACGGCTCTGCTATTCATAGCCTGCCAACTCTTTGCATTTCATTTGCAAGGCATGCGTGTGACAGAGAGAGAGAGTGAGAGAGAGAGAGAGAGAGAGAGAGAGAGAGAGAGACAGAGAGAGAGAGAGAGAGAGAGAGGGAGGGAGGAATACAGTAACACTGTGCTTCTGAATGCGTGCAAGTGAATTAGGCTTTTCTAATGTTTCTTTTCATGCATGAACAGATGTGCAAATATGTTCTTTATTCAGAAAGAGACACTGAGCTAGACTCATTTAACTTTTTAAAATTTGTAAAGGTATTTTGGTTTGATTCTTTTACTCCTTGTGTGGGGAGCTGTGCAAACCACAGCGGTGTAATCTTTGCACGTCTCTGACAAGCACAGCTCCTGAGAAGTTTTTTTGGCATTAATGTGAGGTAGCATTTCAGAGAGAGAGGGGGGCAAAGGGTCGGAAAGGGGGGCCGGGGGCTCTTGTTGCTATTCTCTCTGTCCCGTTCTTAATCCTGTTGTTCCAGTCCAGAGGATGTGTCTGTTCCGCGGGAAGATGTGCGTGGCAGTGTTGAACGTGGGTCGCAGACGGGCGACAAGGCACTGGCGCGACTGGCAGACTGTGATTCTTTGAGTTGATACTGGTGCATGTGTGTGTATATCTGTGTGTGAGTGTGTTGTGTTCCACTGACCTATTTTTTGGTTAGTCGTGTGTACATATGTGGCCATGAGAGCAGGACTGGGTCCTGCCAGTCGCTGTGATGTTGATCTAATATGCTTAATCCCAGCTCGTCCACCCCCTCCATCATACAGGCATACATGCGCACACACACATCCGCACAGACAGACACTGAAAGTGCAGTCAGACATACAGTACAGCACACACTCCTTCTCTCGTGCATGCTTGCACACGCGCACATAATCATGCTTTTCACACATATTAATACACTCAGTCTTCCATATTGAGAAATGGGAACAACCATATCCAAACAAATGTGCTCGTATGCATAATACAGTCAAAAACAATAACAGGCAGCTGTCATTTTGTGTTGAAGGAGAAATGTCAGGAATGATGTAATTTTTGTCTTCCCATCTGACCTGAAATATATTTACATTTGTGCTTTTTGTTTTAATATTTACTGTCCAGACAAAAAAGTAATGGAGTATTTTCAAAATACTTATATGTATACATATTAATATATAGTAATATATTCATGAATAATCCATGTGTGAAATAACAGGCTTTTATCAAATGTATATATTAGTATTAATATTAGTGGTATTGATAATAACCCTTACAGCATTTCCTAGTTACAGTTTATGTATTTGCGTAATAAGTTTGCCATCTAGATGCAGTTAAATATCATGTTCTTTGTGTGAGAGACTTGCAACTCTGAGCGTAGTGTTAATTTCTTCTATTTTTCCCCTATATCGATCACAATGTGTGAGAATTCATTTATGAAGGGAGGCTCACAGTCAGTTGTGAAATTGAGAGGAAGTGCAGTCCTGTATCTCATTTTCAATGAGATGCATATGAAAGATGGCCTTTGACCTAATGTCCTTTATGCAGTTTATAGTGGAGGGCTTTATGAAATCATATTGGTTTTGGATGGAATCGACTGCTGTGTAGCTTTTCTATGACTTTTTTAAAGTGTGGCATATACACAGCATTTTAATGTGTATATTTCTTCTTTTCCTGACTTAGTGCATTTTTTCCTTTTTTAATAAGTGCATTTTCTTTATTTGTCATCAGCCGTAAACATGTTAAGATGTTTACTAGCCATTCTATTTTCCAGTCTTTATGTCTACTTTGTGCTCTGTCTCACCCCTTATTGGTACGTTCAGCTGCTGGTGTCATGATAGGACACTGTATCAATGTCAGAAATTAAATTAAAATATGAACAAGCTGTATAATTGGAAACTAATTTAAACGGCAGTAGTAATTTCTTCCTGAAAATGGTCAGTGAAATGAATGGATGAACAGAACATGACTTTGTTATTATGTTAATTGTGTTCATACTGCATGTGCCTTTTTCTGTTGTTTTAAAAATAAAATGTTTTTCATACTGTGCACTGCAAAAAAATGCTAATATATTATACCAAACATCTCTATGTGTCTCTGTGGCTTTGTCTCTACTCTGCACCCCCCTTTACCCACCTATTCCTCTCTATTCAGCCTCTCTACCACACCACTGCCTCTCAAGTACCTAATTACCTGTAATGGAAACATCCCTCTCATTACCCCATGCAAATTAGCCAGCCTACTCAGCACAATTAGGATGAAAATTCCAATTACATAATTAAAGAAAGTTGTTTGATGTGTAGATTGACAGAAAAGGTAAAACCATCCTCAGTACATATAATTAACCCTTCATAAAGAGCATCATTGTGACGAGGTATACATAGCGGTGGGGAATGTAACTGAGTACTTTTACTCAAGTACTTGTACTTTACTTGAGTATTTCCTGTTTATGACATGTTATACTTCTACTCCAAATGTTTTACGTTTATCTGACAGTAGTTACCTGACAAATTAAGATTCTACATCCAAAACAGAACAACATTAGAACATTTAAAATATGTGTTTTAAAAATGTTAACTACCCATCAGTATGTAACATATGATGATTAGTCAGTGAATCTTTGTCTTAAGTTACAGTAAACTGAATCATTTTGAAGTCTGGACTGTTTGTCGGTAAAAAAAACAAGACATTTGAAGGTGTCACTTTGAGCTCTGGGTAATTGTGTTTGACATATCAAACTATTTTCTTACGTTTTACTAAACGGATTGATCAAGAAAATAACGCGCATATTTAAAAAAAACTATATAGTAATATTTGTTTGGCATAATGTCTAATTAGATGTACTAAATGCACCCATAGGAGCTATTTATCTGCGTTGGATACTTTTAGTTTTGTATTGTATTGTATGTACATTTTCCAGTTAATTCTTATAACTTTACTCAAATCAGAGTATTTTTACAATTGTGGTATTGGCACTTCTAGTAAAATAAAGGATCTGAGTATTTCTTCCATCACTGCAAAAGCAGTAATGTTTTAAAAGTGTGGAAAGCAAGGCACAGTGCATGCAGACTGCACATTAATATGTGATTTAACACGAGTGTGTACCAGACTGTAAAAAATGTACTGGGGCCGTAGAGAGCTAAAGCTAAATATCTTGTGATAGACGCTGTAAGGCTATGTTAACAAGGCTGTAAATATTTGCTGTAGATTTGGTACTCTTTGTCTCTTTCTATCAGTGGCCGATTGAGGTGCTCACTACCCAGTGCTGCAGGCTCTCACACATTAAGGTAGAGGTTAACAAGATTGGCTATTATCCAGTTAGGGACTGAGGACATGAAGAGCTAAAGGAAAGATCGCCACAGATTAAGGGGAAGACAAATATAGCATAAGTCACCTGCAAGGATTTAAAATAAAAGCCCCATTTACAAAGAGAGTATTTTAAAAAGGGTTCATATTTATTTTAGTCTGATTAAAATAATTTGAGTTTGAACGTGAACATAATTCCGATATTCTAAACAGTAGCCTAAAATGACATTTTGCATTTATGAAATATGTTTAGATTCAATTTCACCTTCTTTTTACATGTTGCTCTGACAGATGGAGGCTGCGTTCTTTAGCCCTCTCTCTTGCCTCTCAGCTGGCTGAAGAAGTGGAATGGCGTCCCCACAGGTTATTAAAGTGTGTGAGGTGTGCCAGTCTTTGCTGCGCACACTGAGACTAACATCCTGGCCGTCTGACTGTGTGTGGAGGGACTGGTTAATGAGATATTGACTGCCCATTGAGAGCATGGATTTTTGATTTGGCTCCATAGAATTTGGGAGGATAGGGAGGTGCACTCTGGAGAGAAGAGGAGAGATGGGCACTAATTCTAAATGATTTTTTTTTTTTGTTATAGTTAGTATTGTTTGTGACAATTTGTCTTTTGATAATTCTTCTTTTGAAATTATTATTATAAATAACAAATCACATAATATATCAGAATCAACCATGTATGTGCATGTGAATATAAATTAAAATACTTACAAAATTATATGAGTAAGAACATAGATTCTTAATCTGCGTAATTCATTAAAAAAAGTACATCAATTTACAGAAGGGCTTAATTGCTATAGCCATACTTTATATTGCTAAAAAATGTATAGCTACTCAGGATTGATTGACTATGGAATTGATTTTTCTATACATTGAGTCTTTGCAACAACCAAATACAAATGAATACAGTCTTTTCATACTCATTTTATGTTTATAGTTTGTACAAACATTAATCTGCGACTCCATCCAAGCCATTGGTAGTGTGCCAGGCAGCTCTGTCAGTCATCTCGTCTTGTCAGTCACACCTTGTGGCTTTGACAGATTAGATTAGATCCAATCACAGGCGAGGTTAAATGACTCTCCTGTCCTATGCCCAATCAAACAGCGGGGTACAACAAACAACAGCGGCTCAAGACAACCATTGGGCTACATGAGAGGATTGCTGTTCATTCTGAAACATTCACTCCGAGTTCAGTCAGGGTTCTCAATTTGGCTCCCCAGTCAGGTAAAAAACTGAGCTGGGCTTAGTCAAACGCCTCTAACTTAAGGGTAATTTCCTGCGTTACTTTCACTCAGTATTTCAGGAGTCACTTATAGATTCTTTGAAGTGTCTCCCTGTCATGCAGCATTTAGCTGCTGATAGAATACTCCCACTGTCAGCACTCCTTAGATAATCATATACCACAGTCCATGGAGTTAAAGAACATTTCACTTTCTTTTTTTCCTCTTTCTTCCTGTAGCTTCCGCTGTCGAATATGTGAAGTGAGTGTAGGGATTGGATGTATTTCACTGTTCACAGAAACCGTTTGCTTTACATTCTAAGTGATTGTTATGTTTGGTCAGTTACAGTACTTATGTGCATACTCTGTGGACTTATTAGCTTCATAATAAGAATAAAATATATTTGATT